TCATCAAGGTCAACTGTACTTTGGGGCGGAGGCAGCTGTGTCCAACAATAGCAGTGAGATTTTTCAAACGGGCCAATTTTTTCAGAAGGATGGCCACGCCCTTCTCTTCTCAGTCTGTCTTAGTCTGGAGGCTCTGCTGAAACCTGTGCCCCTGCGTGACTCTGCCGGTGTCTGAAATAACGGTAGCCTGGCTCCCAGCATCACAGGAACCCCCACAGGCCACACCACAGGACAAAGGACGCGCTGTTGGTTAAAATACAACCTAAGCGATAGACATGTCGTGGGAGATCGCAGAACAGGATTTCGTGAAGACCAAGGACTTACTCATCAGAAATACTTTTTTTTTTCAAAACCACAAAGGACGGCTGTGCCCGTGGCCTCCTGGACGGAAGACACCGGCATCACACCGACCGTGGAAGAGACGTGGCAGACGCTGATCATCATCCAACAGAACAAGGCCTTGTAGCAGGATTTTCTGCAAAAGACCTTTAAAGATGTCAAAAAGCAAAGCGGCCTGTGGTGAAGTGAAGGTTTGCAACACGGCTCCTCTACGTAGTCGTGTCCCTGTACCGCCCACCAAATGACCGGGTGGCATCAGGCACACAGGGTGTGCAAAACACTGACAGAGGGGACTGGTCGATTTCACTGCCATTCCCCCGGCTATCAGAGAGCGCTCTCCGAAGGAGGAACAGAGAATTCCCGGGACCACCAAAGAAAAGTCACTGGTGGAGCACGTTCAAGATGCCTTCCCACGTGCCGTGGCAGAGGCCACAGGGGCCATGTCAGCTGAGACCAAGGCTGAGGCACGGAGACCATAAGACAGAGCAGAGGAGCAGATATGAGACTGTGAGGCAGAGCGGTAGGTGAGACTTCCTGGCCCATAGAGACCAGAGACCAAGGGACCACGTGGCGGCAGAGAGGCTGAGGGCTAGGGAGAGAGACTTGGCTACTGGCCGAGGAGAGCCACTGCTATGAACAAGAGATGATCAGATTGTCTGTTCCCGGCTGGTGGTCACTTGTAAAGTCTCCATAACTGTGAGTACAGTCTGAATTCGGTGTGGCCACTGTCATGGATTACGGAACCCAGTCGAAAAGGACCATGTGGGGAGGCAGGGGTGGTGTCAGAATGGAGACAAGTCTGGCCTCAGCCTGGGCAGAGGTGGCAAGGGCTTCTCCTCCCTCGTGCAGCCAGGAGGTCAGATGTGGTCTCCAAGCCGCTTTCTCAAGGTCACTTGGAGGACTAAGGTGCACCCGAAAATACCCACCCATGGGATTTTCAAGTGCTTCCCACGTGTGCAAAGTCGGCCAAGAACAAGGAAAACGGAAAGCGAGTGGACGTATTCGAGCCGTGCCATTGGCAAAGACTACTGGCCAGGAATTGACAGAACACACAGAAGACGCCTTGGCGGAAGCGTCAGAACGATCCTTTGCAGCTACTGTGCCCACATGTTGTTTCATGTACTCAAAAACCCTTTTTTAAAGTTGTATTGGCATCTAATACAGGTGCCCTGCAGTTCAATGGTTTAAATACACTAAAAAGAGCCATGCCATCATCACCACAATCAATTTTAGAATGTTTTCTTCATTCTTGTCTAGGTTGTCATCAGCTCCCCACTTGCTCCTAACCTCCCCTGCCATCACTGTCTCCATGGATTACCTATCCTGGATTTCCTAGAAAGAATATCATTCCGCCCCCCCCCCCAAAAGACAACAAAACATAGAAAAACCTCAACCCAAAAGAAAACAGAAGGTACTAAAAAGCAGAATAAATTAAAAACGGGTGATAATATGTTCAATTTCAACCTAATTCTGTCTACAGTAATACAATTTCCAGTGCACTCTGTCTGAGGGCAAAGACTGTTCACGACTCTGGCCAATGGGTTGAGGGAGGTTCCGTGGAAGTTCAATCCACGTGGGGACTCTGCAAAAGGATTTATGGCTTTCACTGTCATCTACCGCCTTTTGCAAACCAGGTGCTCAGAATGCACGCTCGAATACCATTCCCTCCTCCGATCTTGTATTTTATTACTTCACAGTCCTTACATCACACAGGCTGTGTGTCCTCTCATGTGAACTTAGCTGACACCT